GCAGTAGAAAGCAAGCAGTGATGGCAGCAGCAGTAGCAAGCAAGCAGTGATGGCAGCAGCAGTAGCAAGCAAGCAGTGATGGCAGCAGCAGTAGCAAGCAAGCAGTGATGGCAGCAGCAGTAGCAAGCAAGCAGTGACGGCAGCAGCAGTAGCAAACAAGCAGTGATGGCAGCAGCAGTAGAAAGCAAGCAGTGATGGCAGCAGCAGTAGCAAGCAAGCAGTGATGGCAGCAGCAGTAGCAAGCAAGCAGTGATGGCAGCAGCAGTAGCAAGCAAGCAGTGATGGCAGCAGCAGTAGCAAGCAAGCAGTGACGGCAGCAGCAGTAGCAAACAAGCAGTGATGGCAGCAGCAGTAGAAAGCAAGCAGTGATGGCAGCAGCAGTAGCAAGCAAGCAGTGATGGCAGCAGCAGTAGCAAGCAAGCAGTGATGGCAGCAGCAGTAGCAAGCAAGCAGTGATGGCAGCAGCAGTAGAAAGCAAGCAGTGATGGCAGCAGCAGTAGCAAGCAAGCAGTGATGGCAGCAGCAGTAGCAAGCAAGCAGTGACGGCAGCAGCAGTAGCAAACGAGCAGTGATGGCAGCAGCAGTAGCAAGCAAGCAGTGATGGCAGCAGCAGTAGCAAGCAAGCAGTGAAGGCAGCAGCAGTAGCAAGCAAGCAGTGACGGCAGCAGCAGTAGAAAGCAAGCAGTGATGGCAGCAGCAGTAGAAAGCAAGCAGTGATGGCAGCAGCAGTAGAAAGCAAGCAGTGACGGCAGCAGCAGTAGAAAGCAAGCAGTGACGGCAGCAGCAGTAGCAAGCAAGCAGTGATGGCAGCAGCAGTAGCAAGCAAGCAGTGATGGCAGCAGCAGTAGCAAGCAAGCAGTGATGGCAGCAGCAGTAGCAAGCAAGCAGTGACGGCAGCAGCAGTAGAAATCAAGCAGTGATGGCAGCAGCAGTAGAAAGCAAGCAGTGACGGCAGCAGCAGTAGAAAGCAAGCAGTGACGGCAGCAGCAGTAGCAAGCAAGCAGTGATGGCAGCAGCAGTAGAAAGCAAGCAGTGACGGCAGCAGCAGTAGCAAACGAGCAGTGATGGCAGCAGCAGTAGCAAGCAAGCAGTGATGGCAGCAGCAGTAGCAAGCAAGCAGTGATGGCAGCAGCAGTAGCAAGCAAGCAGTGATGGCAGCAGCAGTAGCAAGCAAGCAGTGATGGCAGCAGCAGTAGCAAGCAAGCAGTGATGGCAGCAGCAGTAGCAAGCAAGCAGTGATGGCAGCAGCAGTAGCAAGCAAGCAGTGATGGCAGCAGCAGTAGCAAGCAAGCAGTGATGGCAGCAGCAGTAGCAAGCAAGCAGTGATGGCAGCAGCAGTAGCAAGCAAGCAGTGATGGCAGCAGCAGTAGCAAGCAAGCAGTGATGGCAGCAGCAGTAGCAAGCAAGCAGTGATGGCAGCAGCAGTAGCAAGCAAGCAGTGATGGCAGCAGCAGTAGCAAGCAAGCAGTGATGGCAGCAGCAGTAGCAAGCAAGCAGTGATGGCAGCAGCAGTAGCAAGCAAGCAGTGATGGCAGCAGCAGTAGCAAGCAAGCAGTGATGGCAGCAGCAGTAGCAAGCAAGCAGTGATGGCAGCAGCAGTAGCAAGCAAGCAGTGATGGCAGCAGCAGTAGCAAGCAAGCAGTGATGGCAGCAGCAGTAGCAAGCAAGCAGTGATGGCAGCAGCAGTAGCAAGCAAGCAGTGATGGCAGCAGCAGTAGCAAGCAAGCAGTGATGGCAGCAGCAGTAGCAAGCAAGCAGTGATGGCAGCAGCAGTAGCAAGCAAGCAGTGAAGGCAGCAGCAGTAGCAAGCAAGCAGTGACGGCAGCAGCAGTAGCAAACAAGCAGTGAAGGCAGCAGCAGTAGCAAGCAAGCAGTGACGGCAGCAGCAGTAGAAAGCAAGCAGTGATGGCAGCAGCAGTAGAAAGCAAGCAGTGATGGCAGCAGCAGTAGAAAGCAAGCAGTGATGGCAGCAGCAGTAGCAAACAAGCAGTGATGGCAGCAGCAGTAGCAAGCAAGCAGTGATGGCAGCAGCAGTAGCAAGCAAGCAGTGATGGCAGCAGCAGTAGCAAACAAGCAGTGATGGCAGCAGCAGTAGAAAGCAAGCAGTGACGGCAGCAGCAGTAGCAAGCAAGCAGTGATGGCAGCAGCAGTAGCAAGCAAGCAGTGATGGCAGCAGCAGTAGCAAGCAAGCAGTGATGGCAGCAGCAGTAGAAAGCAAGCAGTGATGGCAGCAGCAGTAGAAAGCAAGCAGTGATGGCAGCAGCAGTAGCAAGCAAGCAGTGATGGCAGCAGCAGTAGCAAGCAAGCAGTGATGGCAGCACAGTAGAAAGCAAGCAGTGATGGCAGCAGTAGTAGCAAGCAAGCAGTGATGGCAGCACAGTAGAAAGCAAGCAGTGATGGCAGCAGCAATAGAAAGCAAGCAGTGATGGCAGCAGTAGTAGCAAGCAAGCAGTGACGGCAGCAGTAGTAGCAAGCAAGCAGTGACGGACCGACCAGAAGCAACAGCAGCAAACAGCCCCAACAGAAGCAACAGCAGCAGAAGGGTGTGTTTTAACATGACCAAACTGCATAGGGAAGGGAGAGAGGGGAAAGGTTTGGATAGCGAGGGGTGAGTGGACCCCGTGACGGGAGGGAGCAAGGGAAGTGAGGAGTGGGCAGCGGTTGCGAGCCCAGGAGCAAGGGAAGGTAAAGGCCGAAACACATTGGGTGGTGCTTTTCAGTCTTAGTTGACGCTGCATCCACACAGATACCCATAGCCTGGTGCTTTGCTGCCATGCCATCATGATGGCCACCAGCCAGTCCAGCACTCGCATGATGAAGCATGAGAAGCTGGTGATTTCTGCCATGCTCTCCAATCCTAAGTCGTTTTGAACAAGCAGCGGCAGTAGCAACGTAGCAACGCGAGAGGACGGGCCGCGGTGACGAACGAGAGGCGTGATTTTCTCAGCGCGCGCGCTTCTTGGCAGCCTCGCTTGCCGCCTGCTCCGCTGAGCCCGACAAGAACGGCACGCATGACATTTCACCTAGTTTGAAACTAATGGCGGTAATTTAAACGACCGCGAAAGGCTCCCGTCGAACGAGGATTTAAACCACGCCGCTAAGCCCAGGCCGTCGTCTGGCGGTGGCTGTCGTAACCATTTCGCATGCATAGGATCACGTTCATTATTAACGCAAGATTTGTACGACTACTACTTACTAATACTGGTGCTACTACCGCTGTCGACGGTGTGTGATGAGTGTGATTAGCGGAAGTCGGTGCCTTTTCAGAGAACGAGAAAGCGGGCTTTGAATGATACTATTATCTACTACTAGCTAATACGACGAAGTGCTACTGCTACTAGCGACGGTGGTGCGATAAAGCTGATGTGGGGGAGGGGGTCGGCTCCTCAGCGGAAAGGATAAGTGTGGATGGATCTGAGGCAGCGTTTGCTCCCTCTTTTGTTTCTGAAACCCTGACTCGGTGCACACGGTTCAGAACGGTAAAACATTTTTCCAAGTGTTTTAGGCGCGCGCACTGTGTTAATCGTGAAATTTTCTGTAGACAGACACATGTACCGCGCCCTGAATCTCGTAATCCCTTCTGAAGCTCGCGAATCGTGAACCGTCAGATTGCAGCAGACGACCACCCGTGCTCGCAAATCAGCAGGGGTGCGAGTGGTGGGAGGGATACAGTTCACTCTGTACACTTGGGAAGGTGAGGGTGTGTGAAAATGATGTGGCACGATCCAGGCCGTTGAAAATTTTGGTCTGTATTCAGCAGTGAAATCCGCATTGGCCTGCTGAAGTCTTGCTCCAGCATTCCACGAATGGGGGAGTGTGGTGGGGACCTTTGGATACCATTCTTTTTGCTCAAACATTTTCCCTAAACCGCTGTGTAACGTACCGAAACCCCTGAATATCGATTTTCGTGTCGGTGCGTTGCCATGCCAGCAAATAGTGACGTTTGATCAACCCACCTGGTGCTCGCCCAGCCTTTGGTTTCTGGGCGGAACCAGCCTTTGGTTTGTACTGTAGACGGCTTGGATGTAAATATATGCCGTCACAGCACCGTCTGGTGTTTTGCATCCCAGGGTTTTTTTTCGCCACTCCTTGCATTTTTAAGCACGAGATTTGGCCCCTTCCCAACTCCACCCTCAAGCCTTTTCGTTCTCTGGGCGGAAGGCGAGCCTCAAGCTCAGCAGCAGGTTCAAAAACAAAACGAATGGGCATGGGTTTTTGCGCTTGGGGTGGGTTGCCAGCGTAGGCGCTTACGACTGCTGGGCAATGCAGGTGTGCCCGAACTGTAGCGAGTGTCCGCCACCCAGCCCAACCCCTCCTACCCTGCTTGTTTCTTCACTGTACATGACGGCTAGGAACTGTTTGAGCTTGAAGCTCGACTCTGCACAAACAGGTGAACACTCCGTAGGGCGCGGTACATTCTCCCGCTTGAAGCATTTGTCGCGTATCGATTCACTCCGCTAGGCTAAACATTTTTGAAACAGTTTGACCGTTCTCAACTGAGAGATAAGAACTCGGGTTTCACAAACCACGTCTGCAATGAAACACTCCCCGAACTTGACCCCAGATTCACCACAACACTTCCACCAAAGCACCCGCTCACATCACCTTCATTGCGCCACCTAGCACCACCCCTCGCCAGCTCGTCGTAGTAGCACTAGTAGCACCAGTAAACTCGTAATGTAGGGTGTATGTATTTCGCACCAGTCCCTTGGCCACTCTGCAAAGCACGATCGGTGTTTTGCTAAAACAAATTTTGTTTCGCCACTCTGCTTGCCTTTTGACTGAGATGACGCCCGAAAACTGAAGCTATTTGTTTAACCCGGTAGTGATTTCCACCCGGTAGGTCGACAAAGCAGATTCGCAAATCGTGAGTGTATTATTTCTCGCCTCATTTGTGACCTCACCCACCCAGCCGTACTCGCACTGTACTGCCGCAGTGCTCGTCGACGAGAAACGCCAAAACCTGATCGAGCCCGTCCTGTCTGTTCTGCGCAGACTGGATGGTTCGTGCGAGCTTCACAGAGGGCTGTGCTTGGTACAGTTGGGCAATGGGCAGTTCAACCCCAGGCGCAGTCCACGTGTCCCGTCGGCTGAGCCATTCCATTCAGCGCGCTTGGCTGAAACGGTCGAAAACGGTTACACAGTTTTCAACCGTGTGGAAAATATCGGTTCACAGAACAAAGGGAGCAAGCCAACGCTGCCTGCCAAGATCCGATTCCTTCGTTCACTACAGTGATCCACCCTCTCACTTCAGCCTTATACCACCACCCACCCACCCTCCATAGCCCATCATTGTTAGTACGGTAGCAGTAGTATAATTGCACTAGTCGCTAGCAGAATTAGTAGTAGTATAGCAGGTACTAGTAGTACTTGTGGCACTTCGCGTCGACTCAGTCGCTACTATTATTGGTTCATTCGCGTAACTTAAACGCCAGCGTTTCCTATCGAGTATTTTGTGTCGCGCTGTTAGGTTTGTTTCCATGAGTTGGAAATTTAGGTTTCCGAAAACAAGGCGCCCTAGTACTAGCAGTAGCAGCGAGCAGTAGTAGTCGCAGCCCTTATTTGCCCGTTTGGACTGATATACGCGCTCATGTGGCGTTTCCTCGCTGTCGCTGATCTAATATACCTAAAGTGTCGCTCGTTAGCTCGCTGTCGCTGATCTAATATATCTAAATAGCGGCGACGGCGGAGAGAGCGGGCGGGGATGGGGGGGAGGGCGGGGCTGGTGTGCGGGGAGGCGGAAGCGACGGTGTGGTTGCCGGGGGTGGCGGAGCGGCGGGAGCGGGTGACGGAGGCGGAGGGGGGAGCGGGCGCGGGGACGAGGAGCTGCTGTGCCCCAACTGCCGCGCGCCCCTCTCGCTCCTCTCTTTCCCCGCGCTTGCCTTCCCCCATTCCCCCTCCTCCCCGTCCGCGTCCGCGCTATCTCCGCCCATGTCCGCGGCGGAGGCGCGCACGAGCGGGCGCGCGGTGCTGTTCTGCCGCCAATGCCAGCGATTCACCGACAGGCCGGTGGCGAGAGGGACAGGGGAGGCGGAGAATGGGCGGAAGGGGAAAGAAGAGGGGCAGCCGCAGGTGACGGCGGAAGGGCAGTGCGCAAGCGGGGGGAAGGGGGAAGGATTGGGGAAGGGCAAGGCCGGGGGGGGGGGCGCGAGAGTGGGGGAGTTTGTGGAGGCGGACTGGTATGAAGCGGACTGGAAACATGTCTCCCCCCTTTCCGCCGTCACTCCCCCCGAGCCCCCCGCCTCTGACGCGTGGCAGTGGTCCCGCTTTGGGCGGCAACTTAGCCGCCAAGACGGCCGCCCGGGCGGCAGGTCTGCGCGCAGCGAGCTGGACGGGATGATGGGCGGGGCGAGCGGGGGGGAAGGGGGGAGCGCGCGGAGGGATGCGCGGGAGGAGTATGTGAATCGGTTCAAGGCGAGTTTGCAGGGGTGGGGGGGGCACCCGTGGGCGCAGGGACAGGGGCAGCAGGGGCAGGGACAGGCAGGCGCGGGGGGAGAAAAGAAAGCGCAAAGGCAGGGGCAGGGGCGGAGTGAGGGGCAGCAGGTGGGCAGCAGCGGAAGGAATAGAAGCCCTGGCGGTGGCGGAAGCAGCGCCAGCGCGTATCCCCCTAGCTTCTCCTCCCCCCTCCTGCACGCCCCCAGAGGCCCCCCCGCCCCGCCTCCGCCCCCGTCCCCCCTGGCCGCGCCCACGCAGATCCCCCCCGCGCCTGGCGCGGGTGCGGGGGAGAAGCGGGGGAGGGGGCAGCAGAGCGGGGGAGGGGAGGGGAGGGAGGGGCGGGAAGGGCGGGAAGGGCGAGAGGGGAGGGAGGGGCATGTGCCGTGTTTTGGGGCGGCAGGGGGAGGGGAGGACGGGACAGAGCACAACTGGGGAGGGGCGAATCTGGGGAGAATCTGCCCACGCCCAAGCAGATCCGGGCAGCTCTGGATGAATTTGTGATCGGGCAGGATAATGCGAAAAAGGTGAGCGGGTGCTGGTGACGTGGCAGTTACTGTTAGGCTGGTGGTGTAACAGGTTTACAGTCACAGACTCGCTAAGAGCAGTATTTTTTCTTCTTCTTTTGATTTTATTTGTAACCGAATGTTTGCAGTGGCGGTGGTGTACCCACTACGAGCGCATCTTCTCTATAAGCTCATTTCGTTACGAGCCCTTTCCGATCCCCGTATGCTACCCTTTGCTGCAGGTTTTGGCAGTGGCAGTTTACAATCACTACAAGCGCATCTTTCTTGAAAACCAGAAGCGGGAAAGACTTGCCAACCTGCCAGAGGGGTGAGAAGGGGTAAAAAAAAGGCGAGAGGAGGTTCAGAGGGGTGAGAGGGGGAGGAGAGGAAGTGGGAGAGGGGCTGTGTGCTGTGTGTGGTGAGGGATGGAGAGGGAGAGGAAATGTTCTTTAAAGTGATTCAAGCAAGGATTAAGAGGGAGAGGGAGAGGGAGTGACCGGTCATCTACCTGAACGATCCCCTTTTCTACACCTCACATGGGGGAAAGAGATTAGGCTTGCTCCACATTTTGCCCACTGTCCGCCCTCCCTCACTCACTCACTTCTGTTCTTGCTCACCCCCATGGTGGATAAGAGCAACGTGCCCCTCACTCCCTACCCTCTCCCTATGCCCCCCGTCGCCCTCTCTTCCACCTCTCTTCCCCCCTGAAGGGCGTGCGAGAACCTGGTGGGGGGCGGTGAGGAGGACGAGGTGGAGGTGGAGAAGAGCAACGTGCTGCTGATGGGCCCCACGGGTTCAGGTGGGTGCAAGAATCACCACTGCAGCATACGGGGGGCAGGGCCGCATGGGAGCAGCGGAATAGCATAGGGTAGGGCAAGCATGGGACGAGGTGCAGGTGGGGAAGAGCAACGTGGTGCTCATGGGAGGGACCCACAGGCTCTGGTGGGTGGGTGGGTGGATGCAGCCCATCGGAAGCAGTAGGTGTTTGGACGGGTTCAGGTGTCGTGTCGTCTCAAAACTCGATGGGCCCAACTGACTGACACATGGGTCCCTCGCACGGGCCCCGATCATGTCGCTCGCATACAGCTGTTCAGGTACTATCGCCTGTCAAGCAAGGGCTGCCCAGAGGGTTTATTGGAGGGAAGATTTTAACAGGCTCATGAATGCGTGTATGCGTTCTTGCCTTCCTGTCGCCCAGCGGTCTCATGAGCAACGTGCTTCTCATCTCGCTCACGCGTGTGTCTCTCTCCACTCAACTTATCCCACTCCCCACCTGTCAACTCACCTTATCGGCTCCACTCCATCCGCCCACTCCCTACCCGCTCCGCGCCTGTCCGGCCTGTGATGGCAATGTGGTCAACATCCCAGGCCACTCCCTACCTTATTCTTTGCGGGCGGTATTTCAACCGCTGCTGTCCCTTGGGTGCAGTGCATGCAGGCAAGACCCTACTGGCCAAGACTCTGGCTCGGTTTGTCAACGTGCCATTCGCCATTGCTGATTTTTGAGTCGACTCAAAAAAGTCCCCTCCCCCCACACACTGGTGGGTGACTATCCCCTCCCCCCCCCCAACGCGTGCAGGCAAGACCCTACTGGCCAAGACTCTGGCTCGGTTTGTCAACGTGCCATTCGCCATTGCTGATGCCACCACTCTCACTCAGGTGCGCCTTTAACGAGGTGACTCTTAATTGACTCAAAGGTTACTCTCACTCAGCTGCGTCTCATACCGCCACTCTCATCAACTTCCACACCCAGCTGCGTCTCTCTGATTCTCAGGTTGGATACAGCCTGGTTTCCACACTCTTTCACACGGGAGAGTTCACCAGTATGGTTAACCAGTAGGGTTAACTCTCCCGTGTCATGGTATGCCACTTAGGGAGTGCGTGACAAGGGGCATATTATTACTATCACCGTTGCTCTTGAGCCAATTCCCACACGATGACTCGTGATTCGCCTCAAAGGTCACTTCGTTACAATGGCATGCAGGACAACGGGCTTTCTACTAGAACTGTGTTTCCTGAGCCAACGCTCACCTATTTCTCATTCTCTGGTGCTGTTTGTCGTGCAGGCTGGTTATGTGGGAGAGGACGTGGAGATGATTCTCTATAAGCTGCTGCAGGTGAGGGACAGAAGGGGTTGTTGGGGTTGGGACTGGGAGTGGGGGGTGGGGGGGTTATGTTATGTTAGTGTTTCTGCTCCTCGTGCAGGCGGGGTATGTGGGAGAGGACGTGGAGATGATTCTCTATAAGCTGCTGCAGGTGAGGGGGTTTGGAAGAGGTGAGACGGGTCAGTAGAGGTGTTAGCTTGTCGTGCAGAGGACGCGGAGATGATATTTTACAAGTTGCTGCACCTACAAGTGGAGGTGAGGGTAGGGGTTGCTGCACCCGGGTCCCAACCCCGGGTGGCTTCACGTAGCTCAACTGCTCCTTACAAGTTACATTCATTTTGCTCCTGATGTGCATGCTTGCATGTTCATGACTATCTGTTCTGTGTGTGATTCCCATGGTGGTGTGTGTGTGTGCGTGACTGTCCATTTGTCTTACGCAGAGCGCCAATTTCAGTGTGTCAGCAGCGCAGCAGGGCATCGTGTATATCGACGAGATCGACAAGCTTACCAAGAAGGTGGGCTCGCTAGCAGCACTAGCGGCACTAGCTGCATGGGCACTAGGAGATGCAACCCCCCCCCACTAAAGCAGCAGCGCAGCAGGGATCGTGTATATCGACGAGATCGACAAGCTTACCAAGAAGGTAGGCTTGCTAGCAGCACTAGGGGCACTAGCGGCACTGGCGCTAAGTAGGTGCTCCCCACCCCACCAGAGCAGCAGCGCAGAAGGGCATTGTAAACATAGATGAGATTGACACGCGCACTAAAAACATGAGCTTAATCTGGACAGCCCCCGCTCTCCCCTCTGTGCGTGCCTGGACAGGCAGAGGGCATCACGAGCACACGGGACGTGTCAGGGAAAGGCGTGTTGGAGTGTCTTATCCAATAAGTGTCTTACTGATTCCTCTCTCCCCCCTCTCTCATCTCCGCGCCCTGTATGACTGCACAGGCAGAGGGCATCACGAGCACACGGGACGTGTCAGGGGAGGGCGTGCAGCAGGCGCTTTTGAGGATGCTTGAGGGCGCTGTGAGTAAAGAAGAGGGGGGGGGAGGGAGGGTATGGGAGTATGTGAGGAGGTTGGAGGAGGCGGGATGGGAGGGACGTGTCAGGGGAGGGCGTGCAGCAGGCGCTGTTGAGAATGCTCGAGGGCGCTGTGAGTGGGGGGAAGGGGTGGGCTGTAAGGGGATATGATGTGAGCTGGTTTGAAGGACGGTGGGATGAGAGACACAGGTCTATTGGCGTTTGAGATGTGGCAGGGGAGGGCGTGCGGCCGCCGTTGTTGAGGATGCTGAGGGGCGCTGTGAGGGTGGTGTGAGCATCCATGAGCCCGTTTGTCACACGTGTGTGTCCCTCTACCTACTGGTGCGGAGCGGATCTTCTCACTCCCCCTGGGCCCTGGGTGCAGGTGATTGATGTGCCAGAGAAAACAGGGAGGAAGTCCTTCAGAGATTTAGGGCGCCTTGTAAGTCTCACGTGCCGGTCTTCCCCCTGCTCCTCCCCTCTTCTCCCGGGTGCAGGTGATCAATGTGCCAGAGAAAACAGGGAGGAAGAATCCAAGAGGCGAGTTCATACAGGTACGGGCTACAGGGGTGCGGGAGTGCGAGGGTTGCAGGGGTGCAGGGGTACGGGGGTAGAACAACGATACCGGGTGTTTCTGTTTTGAGACGTCTCAAAACACTTCTTCAAACACGGAGTGCGAGGGTTGCAGGGGTGCAGGGGTACGGGGGTAGAACAACGATACCGGGTGTTTCTGTTTTGAGACGTCTCAAAACACTTCTTCAAACACGGAGTGCGAGGGTTGCAGGGGTGCAGGGGTACGGGGGTAGAACAACGATACCGGGTGTTTCTGTTTTGAGACGTCTCAAAACACTTCTTCAAACACGGAGTGCGAGGGTTGCAGGGGTGCAGGGGTACGGGGGTAGAACAACGATACCGGGTGTTTCTGTGCCGAATGCCTGGAAATCACAACGAATATCACACAGAGCGGAAAGGGTTTCTGCTCAATGGCTAGATACGTTTGAGGCGCATTCCAAGCCGGAGTGTGTTTGTTAGCATGGCTAGCGACCTTCATCCCCTTGGAATTTACCTCAACAGAGGTGAGGGTCGATGAAGAGTATGTCTACCACCTCTTATTCCAACTTTTGAGGCGCGTCAGGAGTTGTCTCCGTTCATGCTTACTGCCTGCCATTCCCCTCCCGCATACCTCCCCTTTCTTTGCCCCACCCATCCCACCAGGTTGACACACAAGACATACTCTTCATCAACCCTCACCTCTGTTGCTTGCCGTGCCAGCCATTCCCAGCCCAATACCCCCTTTCCCATACTTGACTTTGCCTTTCCCCTCCCAACCCACCAGCTGGACACACAGAACATTCTCTTCATCTGCCCTCCACTGCCGCTGCCTGCTATTCCCACCCCCACGCCCCAAGCCACATGCCCGATGCCCCATCCACCCCAATGCTTCCCCTTATCCCACCCCGCCAGCTGGACACACAGAACATTCTCTTCATCTGTGGAGGGGCATTCGTGGATCTGGAAAAGACGATTGCAGAGAGGTGAGGCGGAGGCTGCTTTTGCTGACTCAAAATGCACTCACTGATACGTCTGCTATCGTCAGGTTTTTGAGATTTCTCAAAACATTTGCTGACTCAAAATGCACTCACTGATACGTCTGCTATTGTCAGGTTTTTGAGAATTCCTTCAAAATTTGCTGACTCGAAATGCACTCACTGATACGTCTGCTGTCGTCAGTTATGACCTAAAAAAAAAAAATCGAAGAAAAGACAATCGCACTGAAGGTGCGCAACCATGGTTTTGGGGCAGGGAAAATGAAGCCACCGTTTCTCGCCTTTCAGTGCGATTGTCTTCGCCGCAGCAGTGTGTGCTACAACTGTGTATGCAGGCAATGTCAGGAATGCAGTCCCATCTTAACTACTTTGCCTACTCTGATGACCCACCCACATGTTAGAAACGACTTTCAATAATTGTCTGCAGTTTGACTCTAACATTGACTGCGGTTTGAATCGGTCTGATTGTCTGCAGTCAATGTTAGGAATGTATCTCCTGCCTTTCGTTGGCTGTGCTATGCTAGCCCTCAGAGCTCCTAAGCGCGCAACTCTGCAAGCACTGCAAGCACATACAATGTTGTCTTGACTGCATGTCTTGACTCTCTCTATTACCATTCATTTGTTGCAGGAAGCGCAAGTCATCAATCGGCTTCGGGGCCCCCGTGTGACATTGCTGCAATCATTGCAAGCAGACATGAGACTGACTGCATTCCATGACTCAAATCCCAATATTACCTTGCTGCGTGCAGGAAGCACAAGTCATCCATCGGCTTCGGGGCCCCCGTGCGCGCATCGCTGCGCAACCGATCGGTGCTTGACGCCCGCACTGCCGGCTCGCTGCTGCAATCGGTGAGTGCTAACTCTATACCGTTGGTTTGTTTGTTTGTTTTTTTGGTTGATTTGTCTGTTGGTTTGATTGTTTGGTTGGGTTTTGTTTTGTTTTTTTTTGTTTTGTCATTGTTTTAGCGCGTGTGCCAGCGATCCATGCTTGCAACACTTGCTGTGTGTGCTTGTGGGCGTGCTGCTTTTGAGAGCTGCTTTTCACTGTCCTATAAGCCACCTGCTGCAGTTGATGCGTGCTCTTCCTTCAACCATCCTTTCCCCGCCACCCCGCAAACCCCCTTTCCCCCTTTTTTTGTATCAACGGCTCGCAGAGAGCACTTTTGAGGCGCCTCAAAAGTTGTCTCTCTACCCGCAATTCCCGTATCTCCCCCCCCCCCCCCCCCCCCCCCCCGTCTTTTTTTGCTCATCAACTGCACTCAGAGAGCACAGATCGGGTAGCCTACAGGCTCGTCCCCGAGTTTGTGGGGCGATTCCTTGTGTTATTGTTATACCCCTCCAGATCCTCCCTCCCCATCGTTCAACATCCCTCCCCACCCGTCCCCACCCCTCCCTACCCCTCTGGAACGGCAGGCAGAGAGCACGGATCTGATAGCCTATGGGCTCATCCCTGAGTTTGTGGGGCGATTCCCCGTGCTGGTGGGGCTGCATGCGCTCACAGAGGAGCAACTCGTGCAGGTAATGACTGATGCAGGTAGTGACTTGTGCAGGTAATGACTGGTGCAGGTAATGACTGATGCAGGTAGTGACTTGTGCAGGTAATGACTGGTGCAGGTAGTGACTGGTGCAGGTAATGACTGGTGCAGGTAATGACTGGTGCAGGTAATGACTGGTGCAGGTAGTGACTGGTGCAGGTAATGACTGGTGCAGGTAATGACTGGTGCAGGTAATGACTGGTGCAGGTAATGACTGGTGCAGGTAATGACTGGTGCAGGTAATGACTGGTGCAGGTAGTGACTGGTGCAGGTAATGACTGGTGCAGGTAATGACTGGTGCAGGTAATGACTGGTGCAGGTAATGACTGGTGCAGGTAGTGACTGGTGCTGGTAATGACTGGTGCAGGTAGTGACTGGTGCAGGTAATGACTGGTGCAGGTAATGACTGGTGCTGGTAATGACTGGTGCAGGTAATGACTGGTGCGGGTAATGACTGGTGCGGGTAATGACTGGTGCGGGTAATGACTGGTGCGGGTAATGACTGGTGTGTGTAGGCTTTGGTAACAACAGCTGGTGCTCATGGGGCTGCGTGCTTTCACAAAAGAGCAACATGTGCAGGTAGGTGTAGTGCAGGTGGCAACTGGTGCAGGTGGCAACTGGTGCAGGTGGAAGCAAAGGACCTTTCTTATGCACTTCGAATTATGTCTATATACAGAGCTGAGTGGCTTTCCTTGCACGATTCGACACGTATTTTGGTCCATCTTCTTTTCCTAATCCCTGCCCAGAAAATTTACGTTCTTAAAACCGGAGGGCCAAGAAGGCCCAAATTGCCTCAACCTTCCTAACCTTGGTTGAGTTTGGCCCTCGCACCCAAAATCTTGGCCAATTGTGTTGCTCGCTCCAACCAAGCTTCCTAAGGTTGAAGTTCTTGGCCCGCGGGTTGTAACCCCTGAAACACTACCCGATTCTTATCCCTCTCCCCACCCTCCTGCTCCTTCTCCGTACTCGTTCTCTCCTCTCGGTGTGGCTCTCACTTGCAGGTTCTCTTAAAGCCCAAGAACGCCCTCAGCAAGCAATTCGCCAAGCTATTGGCCATGAACAACGTGAGTGCAGTGTGGGCTGCTGGTTGTGGGTCACGAGCATTGTGTTTTCTATTGTATAAATAAGAAATCCAGACAGTTCTCGGTTAGCAAGCAAGTGCAATTTGCAAAGCTACAGGATGCAGAATAGCACTCAGTGTTGCCTTCTTCCTTGTCCTCATGCTCTCCCAATCCTCCCCTCCCCTCTTACTGAGGCCCGTCTGCACATGACAGAGGAGGCAGTGAGGGCCATTGCGTGGAGTACAGCACCCATTCTTGCCCTTTTCCATGACCTCGTGCCATCTCCATCTCATCTCTTCCTGCCCTCCCTTCCACTCCACCCACTCAGGCCCGCTTGCACATGACGGAGGGGGCAGTGAGGGCCATAGCGCGCAGAGCAGCAGCGCGAAACACGGGGGCCAGGGGGCTGCGATCGCTGCTGGAGGGGCTGCTCACCGAGGCTATGTACGAGGTATGGCGACTGCCGAGGCTATGTACGAGGTATGGCGACTGCCGAGGCTATGTACGAGGTATGGTGGCTGCCGAGGCTGTGTATGAGGTATGATGATTACCGAGGCTATGTATGAGGTATGGCGGTTACTGAGCCTCTGTATGAGGTACAATGTAATAGATACGGTACTCACCAGGCCTATGTACGGGGTACGGTGTAACAGGCTAACAAAAGGTACGGCGGTTACTAAGGCTGTGTATGAGGTACGTACAGCAGTTACCGAGGCACTGCTTGAGGTACGTACGGCAGTTACCAAGGCTGTGTATGAGGTACTGTGATCGCCAGTGGACCTTGGTATTGTTGTGAAGGCAATGTTGTTGGATGAGGTATCAGTGGGGGCTCGGAGGGGAGGTGGGGTTAACCTGCTCGGAGGGGAGGTGGGGTTAACCTGCTCGCTGCTTCCCTCCATCCATCCCTCCATTCCGTCCTTCCCACCCCAACTCCCCAGGTCCCCAGCAATCTGGTGGAAGCAGTGGTGCTGGACGAGGCATCGGTGGGGCACGAGGGGGAGGAAGGGGAAGAGGGCAAGCCGGTGTGCAACTGTGTCCTTGATCATTGCCCTCATTCCACGCCCATCCGTCATCTCATGCCCCAACCCACCAGGTCCCCAGCAGTCTAGTGAAGGCAGTTGTGTTGGACAAGGCATCGGTGGGGCACGAGGGGGAGGAGGGGGGCGACGGGGTAACCTGCACTCTGCCATCATCCATCCATCCCTCCTATCCCTGCTCTTCCAAGCCTGATCTTCCCGTCCCTGCCATCCCTGCCATCCCCACCAGGTCCCCAGCTCTCTGGTGGAAGCAGTGGTGCTGGACGAGGCATCGGTGGGGCACGAGGGGGAGGAGGGCGAGGACGGGGTACCGGGGTGTGGGGCCCACATACTGCAAGGGGAGGGCTCGTGGGAGCGGTGGTTGCAGGATAACGAGGGGGGAGGAGAGAAGGCGGGAGGGAAGGGAGAGGAGGGCCAAGGGGGAGGAAGCAAGGGAGGCTCATCTGGGGGAGGTGGAAGTGATGAGGAATCGGATGCAGCTCCTGCTCTTGCCACAGCCACTGCAGCTTGATCTGCCTTGTCGTCTCCTGTCGAGCACCTGTCTACCACGCTTGGACTCTTCTCAGCTCCTGCACTTGCCACAGCCACTGCAGCTTGATCTGCCTTGTCGTCTCCTGTCGAGCACCTGTCTACCACGCTTGGACTCTGCTCAGCTCCTGCACTTGCCACAGCCACTGCAGCTTGATCTGCCTTGTCGTCTCCTGTCGAGCACCTGTCTACCACGCTTGGACTCTGCTCAGCTCCTGCACTTGCCACAGCCACTGCAGCTTGATCCGCCATGCCACTGCATCTCCCATCCAGCATCTGTCTACTACCCCTTCTATTGTGGTGGACTGGGGGATGTCACCGTGCTAGAGCGTGCTGCTAGGTATCGGTGTATCCTTGCCGCTCGGAAGGTGGGATTGCAGGATGTTTTCATCATCTGTGTGTATATGCCTCCTCTTCTCTCTCGCTCGGAGTTCAAACAGTTTGTCTGCCTCCGATTGCATGTTTTCCTGCAAGTACTGTACTGCATGTATGATATACGTAGAGCAAACAAGGGGTACTATAACGCAGAGCGTGGACAATAAAGAGAGTGACAATAGCGAGAGGGGAGATGAAACCCCCCCATGCCCCCCCAAGGCCCCCCTAAGGCCCCCCTAAGGCCCCCCTAAGGCCCCCCTAAGGCCCCCCTAAGGCCCCCCTAAGGCCCCCCTAAGGCCCCCCTAAGGCCCCCCTAAGGCCCCCCTAAGGCCCCCCTAAGGCCCCCCTAAGGCCCCCCTAAGGCCCCCCTAAGGCCCCCCTAAGGCCCCCCTAAGGCCCCCCTAAGGCCCCCCTAAGGCCCCCCTAAGGCCCCCCTAAGGCCCCCCTAAGGCCCCCCTAAGGCCCCCCTAAGGCCCCCCTAAGGCCCCCCTAAGGCCCCCCTAAGGCCCCCCTAAGGCCCCCCTAAGGCCCCCCTAAGGCCCCCCTAAGGCCCCCCTAAGGCCCCCCTAAGGCCCCCTACCCCCCAAATCCCCTCCAAATCCCCTCACAGCCCCCCACAGCCCCCCCCAACCCCCAATCCCTGGCATGGCATCTATCCCAGGCATGGCATGGCATGGTCCTGGTTCTGGTCCTGGTCCTGGTCTTGTTCCTGGTTCTGGTTCTGGTCTTGGTCCTGGTCTTGTTCCTGTTCCTGGTCCTGGTCCTGGTCCTGTTCCTGTTCAGGTTCCTGGTCCTGGTCTTGTTCTTGTTCCTGTTCAGGTTCCTGTTCCTGTTCATGTTCCTGTTCCTGTTCATGTTGTCAGAAGGTGGCTGGAACAGTAACAAGACGGCACGAACAGCAGCTGGGCGGCAGCAACAGTAACCAGGTGGCCATAGCAGTAACTGGGCGGCTGGAACATTAACCGGGCAGCTGGAGCGATTACCAGGCTGGTGAAGTGGTAACCAGGCGGCTGGAGCGATAACCGGGCGGCTGGAACGGTAAGCAGGCGACAGGAACAGTAACCGGGCGGCATAAACAGCAGCCGGGCGGCATGAACAGTAACCGGGCTTGCAGGCGCCAAGGCTAGGCCAAACCCACCCCGTGCCTAGCCTTGCCCAAACCCACCCCGCAGCTCTTATATATCGACACACGCACACACAAGTACCGTACAAAACAAGAGCAAGGTGCATGTCCTTGTAAATATCCTACTTGTAGATGTGCCTCTATCTTGGCGGGGTGAGAAGGTCTCTTCACGGCGCCCTGCAGCGAGAGAAGGCCACCTGCGCAAGGCGGGGTGGGGAGGGGTGGCAGGATGGCAGGTGTGACAGCATGGCTCTCCGAGCCTCATCCAGACCAGAGCGGAGAGTGAACAGTGCAGGATGGGAACCAGTGGGGTGAACAGTGCGGGATGGGGAAACAGTGGGGTGAGCAGTGCGGGATGGGGAAGCAATAGGATGAACAGTGGGGGATGGGAAAACAGGGGGGTGAGGAGGAGTGCAGAGCAAGGGAACAACGAGTGCAGAGCAAGGGAACGACGAGTGCAGAGCAAGGGAACGACGAGTGCAGAGCAAGGGAACGACGAGTGCAGAGCAAGAGCATAGGAGAAGGGGGCCAGGAGAGTGAGAGCATAGGAGAAAGGGGCCAGGAGAGTGAGAGCATAGGAGAAGGGGGCCAGGAGAGTGAGAGCATAGGAGAAGGGGGCCAGGAGAGTGAGAGCATAGGAGAAGGGGGCCAGGAGAGTGAGAGCATAGGAGAAGGGGGCCAGGAGAGTGAGAGCATAGGAGAAGGGGGCCAGGAGAGTGAGAGCATAGGAGAAGGGGGCCAGGAGAGTGAGAGCATAGGAGAAGGGGGCCAGGAGAGTGGGGACCGTTGTCTCACCTCGTGCCTCACTGGCTTCGCCTTAGCCTCGCCGCACCGTTGCCCAGCTGCGCCCGTCACTGTCGGCAGAAACGAGCAAGGGCAGAAACGAGCAAGGGCGGAAACGAGCACGAGGACATGGCATGGCATGGTAATCGGGCGGCATGAACAGTAACGGGGCGGCAGGAGCAGTGACGGGCGGCAGGAGCAGTGACCGGGCGGCAGGAGCAGTGACCGGGCGGCACGAGCAGTGACGGGCGGCACGAGCAGAGACGGGCGGCACGAGCAGAGACGGGCGGCACGAGCAGTGACGGGCGGCACGAGCAGTGACGGGCGGCACGAACAGTGACGGGCGGCACGACCAGTGACGGGCGGCACGACCAGTGACGGGCGGCACGACCAGTGACGGGCGGCACGACCAGTGACGGGCGGCACGACCAGTGACGGGCGGCACGACCAGTGACGGGCGGCACGACCAGTGACGGGCGGTACGACCAGTGACGGGCGGCACGACCAGTGACGGGCGGCATCAACAGTGACGGGCGGCATGAACAGTGACGGGCGGCATGAACAGTGACGGGCGGCATGAACTGTAACCGGGCAGCGGGAACAGTAACCAGGCTTGTAGGGGCCAAGGCTAGCCCAAACCTACCCCGTGCCTAGCCCAAACCCACCCCGCAACTCTTATATCGACACACGCACAAGTACCATACAAACAAGAGCAAGGTGCATGTCCTAATAAATATCCTACTTGTAAGTATGTCTCGTGTCTTGGCGGGGTGAGAAGGTCTCTTCACGGTGCCCCGCAGAAAGGAGAGAAGACCTTTCTGCACAAGGCGGGGTGGGGAGGGATGGCAGGTGTGACAGCATGGCGGATGGTTTAGAAACCATGGCAGAGGTTTAGGGTGCAGCACAGGTGAGTGGAGGGGAGCAGAGCACGTGAGTGAGTGAGGAGCAATAGGAGCGAGCGCGAGGGGCCTCACCTCACTGGCCTCAACAGGTCTGCCCAGAGCGCTCCAAGTCTGCCCCAACCCTTTTTGAGGTGCCTCAAAAATCTGCCCAGGGCGCGCCGAGTCTGCCCCAACCTTTCCGAGGAGAGGAGGTGAACGGAGGGAAGGAGAGGTTTTAGCATAGGGGCTGGCGGAGGGCGGAACGAGGAGGAGGGCGGAACGAGGAGGAAGGGCGCAACGAGGAGGAAGGGCGCAACGAGGAGGAAGGGCGCAACAAGGAGGAAGGGCGCAACGAGGGGGAGGGCGGAACGAGGAGAAAGGGCGGAGGAACGAACAAGGGCAGAATGACGGAAGTGGAACGAGCAAGTGCGGAACGAGCAAGGGCGGAACGAGCAAGTGCGGAACGAGCAAGGGCGGAACGAGCAAGTGGGGAACGAGCAAGGGCGGAACGAGCAAGTGTGGAACGAGCAAGTGCGGAACGAGCAAGGGTGGAACGAGCAAGTGGGGAACGAGCAAGGGCGGAACGAGCAAGGGTGGAACGAGCAAGTGCGGAACGAGCAAGGGTGGAACGAACAAGGTGAGAAGAAACGCAGTCTGGCAGCAGAGAAAGAAACACCTCTGATTCCAACTATTCTGTGGGAGATCGATTTCATTCTAACACAGCGAGTAGGTGCTGATAGTTTGAAAGAGAGATCAGCGCTGCTGTTCGATAGAAGCGAGCAGGGCGTAATCGGTGGTGGCGAGGACTACTAGGACGAGGTCGATGACAATGAGAGAGGCAAGGAAGGAGCGGCCGTGGTGAGAGAAGAAACGCAGTCTATGCACTCGTCTCTGCAGTCGTCTCTCGACCTGTTTGAGGGACTTAGAAACGTAAAAACGTGCGTTGCTCGACAATTTCGCGACCGTTCGACGGTGAGGTCCGACCGAGCCACCTCGCGCGCACGTGCGTTCGCTCCGCGCAGCGACCCGTGTGACATGACATCGCATCATGCTGCAAACTAAACGGACATCAAACGCGATATTCGCTAATGAGAAAAAGCGCGGGACGGCTAAACGAAAGCGCTGCGCAGGGTGCAGCGCGAGGCGAGCAGGACGACGACTATCTAACGACCGCGAGGCGCACGAACAAACACGCGACTAGGACCTTAGCGAATGACACAGCAGCGGATTAGGTGGCTGTGACTGTAATTCTAGCTGCATAGTAGGTATGAGGGAAGAAGGTTCGAGTAGACCCGAAGACGGTTTGGGCTGAGGCAGCAGCGGGATGGATGGGACGGGTAGCTACCCAACCCCACCCACACAATGTTTTGTAACATTGTGGGCAGTAGAAACAAAAGTAGGAACATATCGAACCATAAAGGGTGTATTCTGACCACTCCTACTAGTGTAAAATCTCTTCGATTTTACTGTAGGTTGTGTGAAAGGTATCCAAACCCAAACCGAAATGGAAAAAAAAAAAAACAAAAGAGAAATACACCCACATCTCCAATGGGTTTCAAAGCCTGTTCCAGCGCGCTTGTCGTGGTGGAACAGGTCAAGAAAAAAAAAACACCCACCAATGAAAATTCAAAGCCTTGTCCAGCGCACGGATCGCGCGGTGAAACAGGTCAAGAATGATAGTATTACGGTGAGGTTGGTTCCAATATACAGCGCGGTTCCGACGAATCCAAATTTACATAGTGTATATATTTCTTTTGCTACTCAACTAGCATCAATAGATGTTTGTATTCGAATGTGAATTGTTAAATGGGCATACGAGAAGATAAACAAAGGACACACATAATGGCAGTAGAAGTTGCGTAAACGGGAATCGCAAGCAAATATGCGTGAGGACGTATAAATCACACGATGCATACTAAACAAAAACGCAATAAATGTGTAATTCATGTCAATATTATCAATACGATAATCGATACGACGACGAGGACGACGAGGAGGGCAAGGAGGAGGAGGAGGACGACGACGACGAGGAGGAGGAGCAGGGGCGGACGAGGAGGAGGGCGACGACGAGGACGACAAGGAGGATGAGGACGAGGACGAGGAGGACGTGGAGGACGAGGACGAGGACGATGACGAGGAGGAGGAGGAGGAGGAGGAGGAGGAGGAGGAGGAGGAGGAGGAGGAGGAGGAGGAGGAGGAGGAGGAGGAGGAGGAGGAGGAGGAGGAGGAGCAGGAGGAGCAGGAGGAGCAAGAGGAGGAGGAGGAGGAGGAGGAGGAGGAGGAGGAGGAGGAGGAGGAGGAGGAGGAGCAGGAGGAGCAAGAGGAGGAGGAGGAGGAGGAGGAGGAGGAGGAGGAGGAGGAGGAGGAGGAGGAGGAGGAGGAGGAGGAGGAGGAAAAGGAGGAGGAGGAGGAACAGGAGGAGGAGGAGGAACAGGAGGAGGAGGAGGAGGAGGAGGAGGAGGAGGAGGAGGAGGAGGAGGAGGAGGAGGAGGAGGAGGAGGAGGAGGAAACACAAGCACAAGCAGCAAACAGTAAGTAGGAAATGCTCAATAGAAGTAGGACACACCAGCACGAGCACAAGCAGCAAACTGTGGTAGTGAGCATCCTCCTCACCATCGAGCAGCAAGAGGAAATGCTCTGCAGCAGTAGGACACACCAGCACGAGCACAAGCAGCAAACGGTAATTGTGAGCATCCGCCTCACCGTCGAGCAGCAGCAGAAAATACTAAGCAGAAGTAGGACACACCAGCACGAGCACAAGCAGCAAACAGTAGTAGTGAGCATCCGCCTCACCATCGAGCAGCAACAGGAAATGCGCAGCAGCAGTAGGAAACACCAGCATGAGCCAAGCAACAAACTGTAGTTGTGAGCATCCGCTTCACCATCGAGCAGCAACATGAAATGCTCAGCAGTAGTAGGAAACATCAGCACGAGCACAAGCAGCAAACGGTAGTTGTGAGCACCCGCCTCACTATCGAGCAGCAACAAAAAATGCTCAGCAGAAGTAGGAATCACCAACACGAGCACAAGCAGCAAACTGTAGTAGTGAGCTTCCGCCTCACCATCGAGCAGCAACAGGAAATGCTCAGGAGCACCATCACGCGCACAAGCAGCAAGCGGCGGTTGTGAGCATCCGCCTCACCATCGAGTAGCAACAGAAAATGCTCATCAGTAGTAGGACACACCAGCACGAGCACAAGCAGCAAACTGTGGTAGTGAGCATCCGCCTCACCATCGAGCAGCAAGAGAAAACGCTCAGCAGCAGTATGATACACCAGCACGAGCACAAGCAGCAAATGGTAGTTGTGAGCATCTGCCTCACCATCGAGCAGTAACGGAAAATGCTCAGCAGAAGTAGGACACACCAGCACGAGCACAAGCAGCAAACGGTACTAGCGAGCATCCGCCTCATCATTGAGCAGCAACAAGAAATGATCGGCAGCAGTAGGACACACCAGCACGAGCACAAGCAGCAAACGGTAGTTGTGAGCATCCGCCTCACCATCGAGCAGCAACAGGAAATGCGCAGCAGCAGTAGAAAACACCAGCACAAGCACAAGCAGCAAACTGTAGTAGTGAGCATCAACACCACCATCGGGCAGCAACAGGAAACGCTCAGCAGCAGTAGGAAACATCATCATGAGCACAAGCAGCAAACGGTAGTTGTGAGCATCCGCATCACCATCGAGCAGCAACAGGAAATGCTCAGCTGCAGTAGGAAACACCATCACGAGCACAAGCAGCAAACGGTAGTTGTGAGCATTCGCCTCACCATCGAGCAGCAACAGAAAATGCTCAGCAGCAGTAGGACACACCCGCACAAGCACAAGCAGCAAACGGTAGTTGTGAGCATCCACATCACCATCGAGCAGCAACAGGAAATGCTCAGCAGCAGTAGGAAACACCATCACGAGCACAAGCAGCAAACGGTAGTTGTGAGCATCCGCATCACCATCGAGCAGCAACAGGAAATGCTCAGCAGCAGTAGGAAACACCATCACGAGCACTAGCAGCAAACGGTAGTTGTGAGCATCCGCAGCACCATCGAGCAGCAACAGAAAATGATGAGCAGCAGTAGGAAACACCAGCACAAGCACAAGCAGCAAGCGACAGTTGTGAGCATCCGCGTCACCATCGAGCAGCAACAGAAAATGCTCAGCAGTGGTAGGAAACACCAACATGAGTATAGGCGGGGGAGGAGGAGGAGGAGGAGGAGGAGGAGGAGGAGGAGGAGGAGGAGGAGGAGGAGGAGGAGGAGGAGGAGGAGGAGGAGGAGGAGGAGGATGAGGAGGAGGAGGAGGAGGAGGAGGTTGAGTGCAATGCTGGTCCGTTGTGTGCGGTCATTGGTGGTGCTGAGTGCCCGTGAGCGGTGACACGCGGTGATGAGCGCTGATTAGGTTGGGAGCGGTGTCGAGTGGCTGTGAGTGGCTCTCGGATATTCAGAGTGGCAGTGGAGCAGCGCTGAGCTGTTGTGTGTGGTCATTGGTGGTGCTGAGTGCCGGTGAGTGGTGACGAGCTGTGACGAGTGGTGATGAGCGGCTCAGAGAGGTGCGGAGTGGTGATGAGCGGCTTTGAGCGGTGCCGAGTGGTGATGAGCGGCTGTGAGTGGTGCAGAGTGCTGCAGAGCGGTTCAGAGCAGCAGTGAGCGGTGCTGGGCCGTTGTGTGCGGTCATTGCTGGTGCTGAGCGCCCGTGGGTGGTGAGGAGTAGTGATGAGCCACTCTGAGAGGTGCCAAGTGGTGATGAGCTGCTCTGAGCGGTGCCGAGTGCTGCAGAGCAGTTCAGAGCAGCAGTGAGTGGTGATGGGTCGTTGTGTGCGATGATTGGTGGTGCTGAGCGCCCGTGAGCGGTGACGAGAAGTGATGAGCCACTCAGAGAGGTGCCGAGTGGTTATGAGCGGCTCTGAGCGGTGCCGAGTACTGCAACAAGGTTCAGAGCGGCAATGAGAAGTATTGGGCCTTTGTGTGCGGTCATGGTGGTGCTGAGCGCCCGTGAGTGGTGACGAGCGGTGACGAGGGGTGATGAGCGACTAAGAGAGGTTTCCAGTGGTGATGAGCGGCTCTGAGGCGTGCCGAGTGCTGTAGAGTGGTACAGAGCGGCAGTGAGCGGTGCTGGGCCATTGTGTGCGGTCATTGGTGGTGCTGAGCGCCCGTGAGTGGTGACGAGAAGTGACGAGCTTCTCAGAGAGGTGCCGAGTGGTGATGAGCGGCTCCGAGCGGTGCGGAGTTCTGCAGCGCGGTTCAGAACGGCAGTGAGAGGTGTTGGGCCTTTGTGTGCGGTCATTGGTGGTGCTGAGGCGCCCGTGAGTGGTGATGAGCGGTGACTAGTGGTGATGAGCAACAGAGAGAGGTGTCGAGTGGTGATGAGCGGATCTGAGCGGTGCCAAGTGCTGCAGAGTGGTTCAGAAGCGGCAGTGAGCGGTGGGTGCTGGGCTGTTCTGTTGTGTGTGGTCATTGGTGGTTGCTGAGTGCCCGTGAGCGGTGACACGCGGTGATGAGCGCTGATTAGGTTGGGAGCGGTGTCGAGTGGCTTGTGAGTGGCTCTCGGATATTCAGAGTGGCAGTGAGCAGCGCTGAGCTGTTGTGTGTGGTCATTGGTGGTGCTGAGTGCCGGTGAGTGGTGACGAGCTTGTGACGAGTGGTGATGAGCGGCTCAGAGAGGTGCGGAGTGGTGATGAGCGGCTTTGAGCGGTGCCGAGTGGTGATGAGCGGCTGTGAGTGGTGCAGAGTGCTGCAGAGCGGTTCAGAGCAGCAGGTGAGCGGTGCTGGGCCGTTGTGTGCGGTCATTGCTGGTGCTGAGCGCCCGTGGGTGGTGAGGAGTAGTGATGAGCCACTCTGAGAGGTGCCAAGTGGTGATGAGCTGCTCTGAGCGGTGCCGAGTGCCTGCAGAGCAGTTCAGAGCAGCAGTGAGTGGTGATGGGTCGTTGTGTGCGATGATTGGTGGTGCTGAGCGCCGTGAGCGGTGACGAGAAGTGATGAGCCACTCAGAGAGGTGCCGAGTGGTTATGAGCGGCTCTGAGCGGTGCCGAGTACTGCAACAAGGTTCAGAGCGGCAATGAGAAGTATTGGGCCTTTGTGTGCGGTCATGGTGGTGCTGAGCGCCCGTGAGTGGTGACGAGCGGTGACGAGGGGTTGATGAGCGACTAAGAGAGGTGTCCAGTGGGTGATGAGCGGCTCTGAGGCGTGCCGAGTGCTGTAGAGTGGTACAGAGCGGCAGTGAGCGGTGCTGGGCCATTGTGTGCGGTCATTGGTGGTGCTTGAAGCGCCCGTGAGTGGTGACGAGCTGGTGCGAACAGGGACGAGCTTCTCAGAGAGGTGCCGAGTGGTGATGAGCGGCTCCGAGCGGTGCGGAGTTCTGCAAGCGCGGTTCAGAACGGCAGTGAGAGGTGTTGGGCCTTTGTGTGCGGTCATTGGTGGTGCTGAGGCGCCCGTGAGTGGTGATGAGCGGTGACTAGTGGTGATGAGCAACAGAGAGAGGTGTCGAGTGGTGATGAGCGGATCTGAGCGGTGCCAAGTGCTGCAGAGTGGTTCAGAGCGGCAGTGAGCGGTGGTTGCTGGCTGTTCTGTTGTGTGTGGTCATTGGTGGTGCTGAGTGCCCGTGAGCGGTGACACGCGGTGATGAGAGCTGATTAGGTTGGGAGCGGTGTCGAGTGGCTGTGAGGTGGCTCTCGGATAATTCAGAGTGGCAGAGGAGCAGCGCTGAGCTGTGACGAGTGGTGATGAGCGGCTCAGAGAGGTGCGGAGTGGTGATGAGCGGCTTTGAGCGGTGCCGAGTGGTGATGAGCGGCTGTGAGTGGTGCAGAGTGCTGCAGAGCGGTTCAGAGCAGCAGTGAGCGGTGCTGGGCCGTTGTGTGCGGTCATTGCTGGTGCTGAGCGCCCGTGGGTGGTGAGGAGTAGTGATGAGCCACTCTGAGAGGTGCCAAGTGGTGATGAGCTGCTCTGAGCGGTGCCGAGTGCTGCAGAGCAGTTCAGAGCAGCAGTGAGTGGTGATGGGTCGTTGTGTGCGATGATTGGTGGTGCTGAGCGCCCGTGAGCGGTGACGAGAAGTGATGAGCCACTCAGAGAGGTGCCGAGTGGTTATGAGCGGCTCTGAGCGGTGCCGAGTACTGCAACAAGGTTCAGAGCGGCAATGAGAAGTATTGGGCCTTTGTGTGCGGTCATGGTGGTGCTGAGCGCCCGTGAGTGGTGACGAGCGGTGACGAGGGTGATGAGCGACTAAGAGAGGTGTCCAGTGGTGATGAGCGGCTCTGAGGCGTGCCGAGTGCTGTAGAGTGGTACAGAGCGGCAGTGAGCGGTGCTGGGCCATTGTGTGCGGTCATTGGTGGTGCTGAGCGCCCGTGAGTGGTGACGAGCGGTGACGAACAGTGACGAGCTTCTCAGAGAGGTGCCGAGTGGTGATGAGCGGCTCCGAGCGGTGCGGAGTTCCCCAGCCCGGTTCAGAACGGCAGTGAGAGGTTTTTTGTGTGCGGTCACTGCACTCAGAGAGCACAGAGTGGTGATGAGCCTGACAGGCTCGTCCCCGAGTTTGTGGGGCGATTCCTTGTGTTATTGTTATACCCCTCCAGATCCTCCCTCCCCATCGTTCAACATCCCTCCCCACCCGTCCCCACCCCTCCCTACCCCTCTGGAACGGCAGGCAGAGAGCACGGATCTGATAGCCTATGGGCTCATCCCTGAGTTTGTGGGGCGATTCCCCGTGCTGGTGGGGCTGCATGCGCTCACAGAGGAGCAACTCGTGCAGGTAATGACTGATGCAGGTAGTGACTTGTGCAGGTAATGACTGGTGCAGGTAATGACTGGATGCAGGTAGTGACTTGTGCAGGTAATGACTGGTGCAGGTAGTGACTGGTGCAGGTAATGACTGGTGCAGGTAATGACTGGTGCAGGTATGACTGGTGCAGGTAGTGACTGGTGCAGGTAATGACTGGTGCAGGTAATGACTGGTGCAGGTAATGACTGGTGCAGGTAATGACTGGTGCAGGTAATGACTGGTGCAGGTAATGACTGGTGCAGGTAGTGACTGGTGCAGGTAATGACTGGTGCAGGTAATGACTGGTGCAGGTAATGACTGGTGCAGGTAATGACTGGTGCAGGTAGTGACTGGTGCTGGTAATGACTGGTGCAGGTAGTGACTGGTGCAGGTAATGACTGGTGCAGGTAATGACTGGTGCTGGTAATGACTGGTGCAGGTAATGACTGGTGCGGGTAATGACTGGTGCGGGTAATGACTGGTGCGGGTAATGACTGGTGCGGGTAATGACTGGTGTGTGTAGGCTTTGGTAACAACAGCTGGTGCTCATGGGGCTGCGTGCTTTCACAAAAGAGCAACATGTGCAGGTAGGTGTAGTGCAGGTGGCAACTGGTGCAGGTGGCAACTGGTGCAGGTGGAAGCAAAGGACCTTTCTTATGCACTTCGAATTATGTCTATATACAGAGCTGAGTGGCTTTCCTTGCACGATTCGACACGTATTTTGGTCCATCTTCTTTTCCTAATCCCTGCCCAGAAAATTTACGTTCTTAAAACCGGAGGGCCAAGAAGGCCCAAATTGCCTCAACCTTCCTAACCTTGGTTGAGTTTGGCCCTCGCACCCAAAATCTTGGCCAATTGTGTTGCTCGCTCCAACCAAGCTTCCTAAGGTTGAAGTTCTTGGCCCGCGGGTTGTAACCCCTGAAACACTACCCGATTCTTATCCCTCTCCCCACCCTCCTGCTCCTTCTCCGTACTCGTTCTCTCCTCTCGGTGTGGCTCTCACTTGCAGGTTCTCTTAAAGCCCAAGAACGCCCTCAGCAAGCAATTCGCCAAGCTATTGGCCATGAACAACGTGAGTGCAGTGTGGGCTGCTGGTTGTGGGTCACGAGCATTGTGTTTTCTATTGTATAAATAAGAAATCCAGACAGTTCTCGGTTAGCAAGCAAGTGCAATTTGCAAAGCTACAGGATGCAGAATAGCACTCAGTGTTGCCTTCTTCCTTGTCCTCATGCTCTCCCAATCCTCCCCTCCCCTCTTACTGAGGCCCGTCTGCACATGACAGAGGAGGCAGTGAGGGCCATTGCGTGGAGTACAGCACCCATTCTTGCCCTTTTCCATGACCTCGTGCCATCTCCATCTCATCTCTTCCTGCCCTCCCTTCCACTCCACCCACTCAGGCCCGCTTGCACATGACGGAGGGGGCAGTGAGGGCCATAGCGCGCAGAGCAGCAGCGCGAAACACGGGGGCCAGGGGGCTGCGATCGCTGCTGGAGGGGCTGCTCACCGAGGCTATGTACGAGGTATGGCGACTGCCGAGGCTATGTACGAGGTATGGCGACTGCCGAGGCTATGTACGAGGTATGGTGGCTGCCGAGGCTGTGTATGAGGTATGATGATTACCGAGGCTATGTATGAGGTATGGCGGTTACTGAGCCTCTGTATGAGGTACAATGTAATAGATACGGTACTCACCAGGCCTATGTACGGGGTACGGTGTAACAGGCTAACAAAAGGTACGGCGGTTACTAAGGCTGTGTATGAGGTACGTACAGCAGTTACCGAGGCACTGCTTGAGGTACGTACGGCAGTTACCAAGGCTGTGTATGAGGTACTGTGATCGCCAGTGGACCTTGGTATTGTTGTGAAGGCAATGTTGTTGGATGAGGTATCAGTGGGGGCTCGGAGGGGAGGTGGGGTTAACCTGCTCGGAGGGGAGGTGGGGTTAACCTGCTCGCTGCTTCCCTCCATCCATCCCTCCATTCCGTCCTTCCCACCCCAACTCCCCAGGTCCCCAGCAATCTGGTGGAAGCAGTGGTGCTGGACGAGGCATCGGTGGGGCACGAGGGGGAGGAAGGGGAAGAGGGCAAGCCGGTGTGCAACTGTGTCCTTGATCATTGCCCTCATTCCACGCCCATCCGTCATCTCATGCCCCAACCCACCAGGTCCCCAGCAGTCTAGTGAAGGCAGTTGTGTTGGACAAGGCATCGGTGGGGCACGAGGGGGAGGAGGGGGGCGACGGGGTAACCTGCACTCTGCCATCATCCATCCATCCCTCCTATCCCTGCTCTTCCAAGCCTGATCTTCCCGTCCCTGCCATCCCTGCCATCCCCACCAGGTCCCCAGCTCTCTGGTGGAAGCAGTGGTGCTGGACGAGGCATCGGTGGGGCACGAGGGGGAGGAGGGCGAGGACGGGGTACCGGGGTGTGGGGCCCACATACTGCAAGGGGAGGGCTCGTGGGAGCGGTGGTTGCAGGATAACGAGGGGGGAGGAGAGAAGGCGGGAGGGAAGGGAGAGGAGGGCCAAGGGGGAGGAAGCAAGGGAGGCTCATCTGGGGGAGGTGGAAGTGATGAGGAATCGGATGCAGCTCCTGCTCTTGCCACAGCCACTGCAGCTTGATCTGCCTTGTCGTCTCCTGTCGAGCACCTGTCTACCACGCTTGGACTCTTCTCAGCTCCTGCACTTGCCACAGCCACTGCAGCTTGATCTGCCTTGTCGTCTCCTGTCGAGCACCTGTCTACCACGCTTGGACTCTGCTCAGCTCCTGCACTTGCCACAGCCACTGCAGCTTGATCTGCCTTGTCGTCTCCTGTCGAGCACCTGTCTACCACGCTTGGACTCTGCTCAGCTCCTGCACTTGCCACAGCCACTGCAGCTTGATCCGCCATGCCACTGCATCTCCCATCCAGCATCTGTCTACTACCCCTTCTATTGTGGTGGACTGGGGGATGTCACCGTGCTAGAGCGTGCTGCTAGGTATCGGTGTATCCTTGCCGCTCGGAAGGTGGGATTGCAGGATGTTTTCATCATCTGTGTGTATATGCCTCCTCTTCTCTCTCGCTCGGAGTTCAAACAGTTTGTCTGCCTCCGATTGCATGTTTTCCTGCAAGTACTGTACTGCATGTATGATATACGTAGAGCAAACAAGGGGTACTATAACGCAGAGCGTGGACAATAAAGAGAGTGACAATAGGCGAGAGGGAGATGAAACCCCCCCATGCCCCCCCAAGGCCCCCCTAAGGCCCCCCTAAGGCCCCCCTAAGGCCCCCCTAAGGCCCCCCTAAGGCCCCCCTAAGGCCCCCCTAAGGCCCCCCTAAGGCCCCCCTAAGGCCCCCCTAAGGCCCCCCTAAGGCCCCCCTAAGGCCCCCCTAAGGCCCCCCTAAGGCCCCCCCTAAGGCCCCCCTAAGGCCCCCCTAAGGCCCCCCTAAGGCCCCCCTAAGGCCCCCCTAAGGCCCCCCTAAGGCCCCCCTAAGGCCCCCCTAAGGCCCCCTAAGGCCCCCTAAGGCCCCCCTAAGGCCCCCCTAAGGCCCCCCTAAGGCCCCCCTACCCCCCAAATCCCCTCCAAATCCCCTCACAGCCCCCCACAGCCCCCCCCAACCCCCAATCCCTGGCATGGCATCTATCCCAGGCATGGCATGGCATGGTCCTGGTTCTGGTCCTGGTCCTGGTCTTGTTCCTGGTTCTGGTTCTGGTCTTGGTCCTGGTCTTGTTCCTGTTCCTGGTCCTGGTCCTGGTCCTGTTCCTGTTCAGGTTCCTGGTCCTGGTCTTGTTCTTGTTCCTGTTCAGGTTCCTGTTCCTGTTCATGTTCCTGTTCCTGTTCATGTTGTCAGAAGGTGGCTGGAACAGTAACAAGACGGCACGAACAGCAGCTGGGCGGCAGCAACAGTAACCAGGTGGCCATAGCAGTAACTGGGCGGCTGGAACATTAACCGGGCAGCTGGAGCGATTACCAGGCTGGTGAAGTGGTAACCAGGCGGCTGGAGCGATAACCGGGCGGCTGGAACGGTAAGCAGGCGACAGGAACAGTAACCGGGCGGCATAAACAGCAGCCGGGCGGCATGAACAGTAACCGGGCTTGCAGGCGCCAAGGCTAGGCCAAACCCACCCCGTGCCTAGCCTTGCCCAAACCCACCCCGCAGCTCTTATATATCGACACACGCACAGCACAAGTACCGTACAAAACAAGAGCAAGGTGCATGTCCTTGTAAATATCCTACTTGTAGATGTGCCTCTATCTTGGCGGGGTGAGAAGGTCTCTTCACGGCGCCCTGCAGCGAGAGAAGGCCACCTGCGCAAGGCGGGGTGGGGAGGGGTGGCAGGATGGCAGGTGTGACAGCATGGCTCTCCGAGCCTCATCCAGACCAGAGCGGAGAGTGAACAGTGCAGGATGGGAACCAGTGGGGTGAACAGTGCGGGATGGGGAAACAGTGGGGTGAGCAGTGCGGGATGGGGAAGCAATAGGATGAACAGTGGGGGATGGGAAAACAGGGGGGTGAGGAGGAGTGCAGAGCAAGGGAACAACGAGTGCAGAGCAAGGGAACGACGAGTGCAGAGCAAGGGAACGACGAGTGCAGAGCAAGGGAACGACGAGTGCAGAGCAAGAGCATAGGAGAAGGGGGCCAGGAGAGTGAGAGCATAGGAGAAAGGGGCCAGGAGAGTGAGAGCATAGGAGAAGGGGGCCAGGAGAGTGAGAGCATAGGAGAAGGGGGCCAGGAGAGTGAGAGCATAGGAGAAGGGGGCCAGGAGAGTGAGAGCATAGGAGAAGGGGGCCAGGAGAGTGAGAGCATAGGAGAAGGGGGCCAGGAGAGTGAGAGCATAGGAGAAGGGGGCCAGGAGAGTGAGAGCATAGGAGAAGGGGGCCAGGAGAGTGGGGACCGTTGTCTCACCTCGTGCCTCACTGGCTTCGCCTTAGCCTCGCCGCACCGTTGCCCAGCTGCGCCCGTCACTGTCGGCAGAAACGAGCAAGGGCAGAAACGAGCAAGGGCGGAAACGAGCACGAGGACATGGCATGGCATGGTAATCGGGCGGCATGAACAGTAACGGGGCGGCAGGAGCAGTGACGGGCGGCAGGAGCAGTGACCGGGCGGCAGGAGCAGTGACCGGGCGGCACGAGCAGTGACGGGCGGCACGAGCAGAGACGGGCGGCACGAGCAGAGACGGGCGGCACGAGCAGTGACGGGCGGCACGAGCAGTGACGGGCGGCACGAACAGTGACGGGCGGCACGACCAGTGACGGGCGGCACGACCAGTGACGGGCGGCACGACCAGTGACGGGCGGCACGACCAGTGACGGGCGGCACGACCAGTGACGGGCGGCACGACCAGTGACGGGCGGTACGACCAGTGACGGGCGGCACGACCAGTGACGGGCGGCATCAACAGTGACGGGCGGCATGAACAGTGACGGGCGGCATGAACAGTGACGGGCGGCATGAACTGTAACCGGGCAGCGGGAACAGTAACCAGGCTTGTAGGGGCCAAGGCTAGCCCAAACCTACCCCGTGCCTAGCCCAAACCCACCCCGCAACTCTTATATCGACACACGCACAAGTACCATACAAACAAGAGCAAGGTGCATGTCCTAATAAATATCCTACTTGTAAGTATGTCTCGTGTCTTGGCGGGGTGAGAAGGTCTCTTCACGGTGCCCCGCAGAAAGGAGAGAAGACCTTTCTGCACAAGGCGGGGTGGGGAGGGATGGCAGGTGTGACAGCATGGCGGATGGTTTAGAAACCATGGCAGAGGTTTAGGGTGCAGCACAGGTGAGTGGAGGGGAGCAGAGCACGTGAGTGAGTGAGGAGCAATAGGAGCGAGCGCGAGGGGCCTCACCTCACTGGCCTCAACAGGTCTGCCCAGAGCGCTCCAAGTCTGCCCCAACCCTTTTTGAGGTGCCTCAAAAATCTGCCCAGGGCGCGCCGAGTCTGCCCCAACCTTTCCGAGGAGAGGAGGTGAACGGAGGGAAGGAGAGGTTTTAGCATAGGGGCTGGCGGAGGGCGGAACGAGGAGGAGGGCGGAACGAGGAGGAAGGGCGCAACGAGGAGGAAGGGCGCAACGAGGAGGAAGGGCGCAACAAGGAGGAAGGGCGCAACGAGGGGGAGGGCGGAACGAGGAGAAAGGGCGGAGGAACGAACAAGGGCAGAATGACGGAAGTGGAACGAGCAAGTGCGGAACGAGCAAGGGCGGAACGAGCAAGTGCGGAACGAGCAAGGGCGGAACGAGCAAGTGGGGAACGAGCAAGGGCGGAACGAGCAAGTGTGGAACGAGCAAGTGCGGAACGAGCAAGGGTGGAACGAGCAAGTGGGGAACGAGCAAGGGCGGAACGAGCAAGGGTGGAACGAGCAAGTGCGGAACGAGCAAGGGTGGAACGAACAAGGTGAGAAGAAACGCAGTCTGGCAGCAGAGAAAGAAACACCTCTGATTCCAACTATTCTGTGGGAGATCGATTTCATTCTAACACAGCGAGTAGGTGCTGATAGTTTGAAAGAGAGATCAGCGCTGCTGTTCGATAGAAGCGAGCAGGGCGTAATCGGTGGTGGCGAGGACTACTAGGACGAGGTCGATGACAATGAGAGAGGCAAGGAAGGAGCGGCCGTGGTGAGAGAAGAAACGCAGTCTATGCACTCGTCTCTGCAGTCGTCTCTCGACCTGTTTGAGGGACTTAGAAACGTAAAAACGTGCGTTGCTCGACAATTTCGCGACCGTTCGACGGTGAGGTCCGACCGAGCCACCTCGCGCGCACGTGCGTTCGCTCCGCGCAGCGACCCGTGTGACATGACATCGCATCATGCTGCAAACTAAACGGACATCAAACGCGATATTCGCTAATGAGAAAAAGCGCGGGACGGCTAAACGAAAGCGCTGCGCAGGGTGCAGCGCGAGGCGAGCAGGACGACGACTATCTAACGACCGCGAGGCGCACGAACAAACACGCGACTAGGACCTTAGCGAATGACACAGCAGCGGATTAGGTGGCTGTGACTGTAATTCTAGCTGCATAGTAGGTATGAGGGAAGAAGGTTCGAGTAGACCCGAAGACGGTTTGGGCTGAGGCAGCAGCGGGATGGATGGGACGGGTAGCTACCCAACCCCACCCACACAATGTTTTGTAACATTGTGGGCAGTAGAAACAAAAGTAGGAACATATCGAACCATAAAGGGTGTATTCTGACCACTCCTACTAGTGTAAAATCTCTTCGATTTTACTGTAGGTTGTGTGAAAGGTATCCAAACCCAAACCGAAATGGAAAAAAAAAAAAAACAAAAGAGAAATACACCCACATCTCCAATGGGTTTCAAAGCCTGTTCCAGCGCGCTTGTCGTGGTGGAACAGGTCAAGAAAAAAAAAACACCCACCAATGAAAATTCAAAGCCTTGTCCAGCGCACGGATCGCGCGGTGAAACAGGTCAAGAATGATAGTATTACGGTGAGGTTGGTTCCAATATACAGCGCGGTTCCGACGAATCCAAATTTACATAGTGTATATATTTCTTTTGCTACTCAACTAGCATCAATAGATGTTTGTATTCGAATGTGAATTGTTAAATGGGCATACGAGAAGATAAACAAAGGACACACATAATGGCAGTAGAAGTTGCGTAAACGGGAATCGCAAGCAAAT